GATGGATGGATGGATGGATGGATAATTGATGTAATTGATTTAATGGCACAATAATTTATTTGTCAAACTTCTTTTTGACCCTAAAATTTATTTTAATACGCCAGTTATATATTTATACATTTATTTCCAATAATGATAGGTTTGGTCCTCCATACTATGGAGCCTATAATTTATTTTAATACGCCAGTTATATATTTATACATTTATTTCCAATAATGATAGGTTTGGTCCTCCATACCAACTATCCATGAAGTTTTGTGACAAAAAAAAGTGTTCGCATGGTGGAGTGCTAGAAGTAATAACTGAGTGGTTTTGGGAACAAGTATCTGATAAAAGAGCTGAAAACACCGAAGCAGCAAACGTTTTGTAAGCAAAACTCGTGTCATTCTCAAAACTTTTGACCCGAGGTGCTGTTATGACCCGTGGCAGCCAGATGAGATGTACCCCCCTCCCCACACACACACACACACAAACACACACCTCCTTGTGTTTAAACAGGTGTGTTTCTGTGCATCACTCAGATGAGGGGCTCTTAGCTCTATGTTCTGCTGGCTCGTCCAGCTTTGTCTCCTGTGTGCTCTGTCCTCCACCCACTGCAGCCGAGCTGTCTTTCTCGGGGGACAGGGGACTCGAGGGGGGGATGTCTGTAGATTTAGTTGCACCAAGGGTCGGGGTGGAGACGTTCCCCTGTGCTGGTGGGGACGCGAGCAGTTCTGTCAGAGTTTGGGGGACTGCGCTGCAGATTTTTCTGTTGGATGCAGAACTTCCAGGTGACTTTCCGGGAGTTTGGGTCATTTCTGGAGGTCTCTCCAATGTGGGCGGGGCTTTGGAAGTAAGGGTTCTGGGTTCCGTCACATCATGCTGAGCCTGAGGACAGGTTGAGTGGGGCGGTCCTTCTTTTTCTGGAAGTGAACGCTTGGTTTCAGCCACCATACCCTCAAAGGCCCTCGCTCCTCTGTCTGGCTTCAGGTCCTCCTGCTGAACAGAATCCTTTTTTCCTTCGTTGGACAGTTTTCTCATGTCACCAGCTGTGAAGAAAGAACAAGTAAAACAAAACCAGATCTTTAAACGACTCAACAGAAGAAGAACATGAAATGGAAACAGAAAGATAAAATAACGTCTCACCATCAGTTCCTGGTGCTTTGTCTTCTTTACAAGAAGGCAGGTCATACCTGTTGCCTCTGAACCGGACAGGGGACCGTTGTAGGACTGTCTTCAGCTCTGAAAGACATCAAAAATCCACAAAACTCATCATCATTGTGGAAACTAGACATGAAAAGACTCAAAAGTGATTGTGTGATAATTACTAGCTGCGCCGCAACTTTTACCGCGACTGATTTGTATGGAGAGCCGTTTCAACCAAAATGAAATAAACAAATTAATTAATTAATTATTTATAAATGAATAAATAAATAAACAAACAAACAAATAAATAAATAAATAAATAAATAAGTAAATATTTTAAGGACATGCTAAAAATGTATTGTAATTTAATTGATTTTGTTTTATTTCACAGGGACATATATTTTTTGATGGAATATTTATTAATACATCATTTATTTATTTATTTATTTATTTAGTTATTTCATTTTGAATGAAATGGCTCTCCATAGATTTGTGCTCAAATTCAGCAGTCAAAGACGAGGGCTTGTGTGGCACGTGCCCCACGTTAGAGTCATGATGCAACCTGATCATCGCAGGTGTTCCCACACTTTGTAAAGGAACTAAAAGCAAAGTGGTGTGAACTCCAACATGTGATAAACCCACTGCCACAGACCTCTACTCAGCATTTTGACATATTTTATATTCAGTTTCTTTTAAGTCTAACAGTGTCCATGCTCAGGATTCAGTCTGAAGTACGATTATGCACAATAATGACCATTCAGGAAGGTCACTGGTTCGATCCCCCGTCCAGCCATCTCAGTTGTTGTGTCCTTGGGCAAGACACTTCACCCACCTTGCCTACTGATGGTGGTCAGAGGGTCCGGTGGTGCCGATGCTTGGCAGTCCCACCTCTGTCAGTGTGCCCCAGGGCAGCTGTGGCTACAGTGTAGTTTGCCATCATCAGTGTGTGAATGTGAGTGTGAATGGGTGAATGTCTGTAAGTGTGAAGTGCTTTGGGGTCCGGAGGGACTTGAAAAGCATTAGTCATAATTAGTCATAAATTCAAAAACATTTAGTTTGTTTTTTGTATTTTTATTTTAAAGATAACATTAGAGCAGTCTGGATAACATTATCTGTTCAAATGTGACAGCAGCTGTTTTTGACCAGAAAGAAAGCAGAGTCACTGATTTTGGGTCCCTTTCATTCAAAGTTATTGATATGGTCTTGAGGAAAGATGGACTCAAGAATAAAGAACAGAAGACATGTCCTGATGCATCTCAGTAATCCAGGTAAAAAATCAAAAAGAAAAAAATTGTATAGGTCTTCTGGACGGGTTCTTCTCTAATGAAACGTTTCATCTCTCCTCCAAGAGACTTCTTCAGTCTGAGAGTTTCAGGCAAAATTCAGGCTTTTAAGCCCTGCCTCCATGTGACTGATACTCACATCACATGGCTATCGTTCACAGGTGACTGATACTCACATCACATGGCTATCGTTTTGGATGGAGGACGGTTGGAAA